TTAGATTGGTTTAGACTAGTTCAGATTAGATTAGAGTGAAGTAGAGTAGAGTAGATTAGATGGTTAGCAAGATAAATAGATTGGAACGAATAGAGCGAATAGAAAGAATGGACAACTAGATAGATAAATCACAGACTTGCTGATACACTACTTAAGTATGTGCACGCAGACTTGCTGCTACGCTACTGGCTCGTCTGTTGCATGTGCATCTGCTACGCTACTTGCTCTTCTTTTGCTGCGCAGGCTTGCTGCTTTGCTACTGGCCTGCGCGTATAATTAGCACTGATGTGTATGGCTAAATTCCCCGAAATGTACGAAAAGACAAGCTGCTTGGTATGCAAGCGGATGGCAAGATAGATAAGATAGATACGATAGATACGATAGATACGATAGATACGATAGATAAGATAGATAAGGTAGATAAGATAGATTAGATAGGTAGATAGATAGATAGGTAGAAAGATAGAAAGATAGATAGATAGAGAGGACAGATAAGATAGATAAGACAGACAAGATAGATAAGATAGAAAAGATAGATAAGATATATAAGATGGATAAGATAGATAAAATAGATAAGATAGGTAAGATAGGTAAGATAGGTAAGATAGGTAAGATCGATAAGATCGATAAGATCGATGAGATAGATAAGATAGATAGATAGATGGATGGATGGATGGATAGATAGATAGATAGAATAGATTAGATTAGATTAGATTAGATCAGATCAGATTAGATAGATGGATAGATGGATAGATGGATAAATGGATAGATGGATAGATGGATAGATGGATAGATGGATAGATGGATAGATGGATAGATGGATAGATGGATAGATAGATAGATAGATAGATTGATAGATTGACGGATAGACTGACGGATAACTAGGTAGAAGATAGATGTTTGGATCGATGGACGGATAGATAGATAGATGCGTAGACAGATAGGTAGATAGGGAGAATGGTAGATAGGTAGATAGGTAGATAGATGGATGGATAGATAGATAGATAGATAGATAGATAGGTGGATAGACGGATAGATGGATAGGTGGATAGATGGATAGGTGGATAAGTGGGTAGATGGATAGGTGGATAGGTGGAAAGATGGATGGATGGATGGATGGATGGATGGATAGACAGATAGATAGATAGATAGATAGATAGATAGGTGGGTAGGCGGAAAGACGGATAGAAAAGATTAGAAAGATTATGTAGACTAGATTGACCGGATGGAATAGATAGATTTGATCGGGTAGATAGATGAGATCGATTTGATAGAGTAGATAGGTTAGATGAGGTAGATTAGATCGACTAGGCGGGTTTGATGGATATTGATATAGAGTAGAACAAAATAGAGCAGCATAGAACAGACTAGAATAGAATACGGTTGGATGCATAAGAATGAAATAGGCATAGAAAAAGAGGTAGAAATAGAATCATTTGAAGAATAGAGAAGAAAGATGTCTAGATCGATAAATCAGCTAGACTAGCCAGATTAGCTAGATTAGGTACGCTAGATAGATTAGGTCGATTATATAGAGTATAGGGTGGCTGGATAGATTAGATAGATTAGGTGGAGTAGGTGGGTTAGAAAGATTAGATCGATTAGGCAGGTTAGCTACATGAGGTAGGATTGGTAGTTAGATTGATCAACAGATTAGGACGATTAATCAGGTTAGATAGGTGGAAAGCAAGATAGGTAGATAGATTGGTAGACCTGATTGATCGATTGATTGTCAAGTTGGGTTTAGAAAGATCAGCCTAGAAAGATGGACAGACCGATCGATCTATGGATCAATCGATGGATAGATAGATAGCTAGATAGACAGATGAATGGATGGATTGATTATAGATAGATTAGATAGGTTAGATAGATTAGATGGATTAGGTAAAGTAGATCGGTTTGGTAGATTAGATAGATTAGATAGATTGGGTAGAGTAGATTGGCTAGATGGATGAGGTAGAGTAGGTAGATTAGACAAAGTAGGTGGGTTAGATCTATTGGATAGACTAGATTGATGTAAAAGGATGGAGAGGTTAGATAGATTAGATAGATTAGATTCAGGGTTTTACTGATTAGATCGATTAGAGCCTAGCGTAAATAGGCCGTAGGCAAATTAGATTAGATTTGGTTAGATTAGATTAGATTGGTTTAGACTAGTTCAGATTAGATTAGAGTGAAGTAGAGTAGAGTAGATTAGATGGTTAGCAAGATAAATAGATTGGAACGAATAGAGCGAATAGAAAGAATGGACAACTAGATAGATAAATCACAGACTTGCTGATACACTACTTAAGTATGTGCACGCAGACTTGCTGCTACGCTACTGGCTCGTCTGTTGCATGTGCATCTGCTACGCTACTTGCTCTTCTTTTGCTGCGCAGGCTTGCTGCTTTGCTACTGGCCTGCGCGTATAATTAGCACTGATGTGTATGGCTAAGACACCCGGCCACCCAGCCACCCGGCCACCCGGCCACCCGGCCACCCGGCCACCCAACCACCCGGCCACCCGGCCACCCGGCCACCCGGCCACCCGGCCACCGACGACACACCCGACCACTGGCCAAGGCCACCGGCCATCCGGCCAGCCGGCCATCCGGCCATCCGGCCAGCCGGCTATCCCAACCACCCAGCCGGCCACGGCCACGGCCACGGCCACGGCCACGGCCACGGCCACGGCCACGGCCACGGCCACGGCCACGGCCACGGCCACGCACGGAAAAAAGCAATCCTCCACGCTGTAGTCCCATACAGCAGTCTTTTTGAGAAGTTGGGTGCCTTCAGAAAACACATTGTTTCTTCAGATCAACGCAGCAAAAATGCAGTATATCAGTATGCTATGAGGTGTGTCTTTTTGCACTCTCTTTCAAAAATTCAAGATCCTCTGCGAAGGAGCAGCCTCAACATTGAGAGCCTATGTGTACAACGCAGCGTCTCTCAAAAGGGGTATCTGAATCCTTTTTAGAACCTATAGCTCCATAATTATGCGCAGCATTCCTTTAGTGCAGTGCACATATACACATATACGAAAGAAAGAGAGAGAGATATATATATATATATAATTACATATATACACATGTAGTGTCATAATATATAATTTTGACTTGCCAGGGGCAGCATTGCAGGCAAAGCAAAGTTCCGTTCAGAGAGTGTCAATTCTCTTAAGGTGTTGGATTTGGAGGCTTTCTTTCAAATGTGCTATATTCCTTGGAGGGGAGGTGCCAACCATCAAGGAAAACAGAGAGCATTCCTAAATACATATTTAAATGTGGTTCATTCCAATCACATACAAGGGCCAGAATAAAAACAATGTGATTGTTGCAAAGTGCAATATCCATAAAACTGGAAGTTGTGTATAGTGCCCTGTACCTATGTTTAGGTTGTTCCAGGAACCTGTAGAGGTTTTGGAGCAATCTTCACTGTCAATCCTGTATTGATGATTTGTTCTAAAGGTGGTCCCGATCTTATACTATGTAGTTCCAGTGGTTTCAACATTGAACATTTCCAAAAGAAACATCGGACAATCTTCAATCAATCCCTTACTTTTCACTTTCTGGGGACCGTCCAGGCTTTTAATTTGCTCTTGAGTTTCAGTGGATCAAAGATCGAATGTTGCCAGGACAAAGGCTTTGAGGGACACTTTCACCTTAAGTTTTGAATCCAGTGAACTTAAAGTGCTTGACAGGTCTTGAAGAATGTTCATTATACAAGGGATAGAATATTACGAGAAAGGATTGGGAGAAATCTTGCAGTATTTTTTTTAAAAGAAACTTAACATCCATGAGCGGCCTGATTTATGCTACGTAGGGGATTGAATATTTCAATGAAACTGTCGTAGAATCTTGAATTTTCAGCGTAGCGAGCTTCGATGTGCTTTTAAGTCCCTATACATGGCCGAATGTACGTTAAGCGCAGGATTTAAAATCTTATAGCTTATATTGAATCATGTTGAAACAATGCTCTATCTTCAAGCTATTGGAACTTGAAAGTAGGTCATTTCAATCCCCTAAGTATCCAAAAGTAAACAATTGGTTGCATGCGCTTTACCTTAGTAAGACAAACAAATCTGACGCAGAAAGGCCGCCAAGAGAATCGCATATATTTCTGTACGCATGTAAAACATATATATATATACACACCTATTTGAAATTATATATGTATATATGTTATACCGACAAATATGTATATAGTCTATATGAGAGAAGTTTTTTTGATGTCCAACACTGACACTGAGGCCCAAGACAAAAAATATGTATAATTACATATACAATATGTGTGTATCACACTGGAATGCCAATTATATCTGCACATGAAGATCAACATCACATATGTCAACATATATATACATATATATATATATTTGATCTACATGGCCCAAGGCACATTCAAAAAACCAGACCCAAATTAATTGCAATTGAACCCAAATTAATTGTGCTTTGCGCATTCAATATCCTCGAAGCCTGATGCGTGATGAGGTACTGATTTTGATCGAATTGTGCTGGCAGGTCTGCGGTGCATAGTGTAGTGCATGTGAGCCTGTAGCACAAGCATCCAGTCAAAGCTGGCTGCTACTTGTCACTTTGAATTTTGCAAGATGCAAATCGCCATTGATTTCATCAAAGAGCTCCAAGGAGAGAGTGACAATTGTGAAAGATTTGTCCACACTGCACATTTTCCACGAAGGTCCTTGCAGCTGACTAGCAACTTTGTTTGTGTTGACGTCAAGTCTCACCAAGTTTGAATAGTTGGAAGATCTTGCGTGGTTGGAAAAATATTGGAAAGAGGCCGTGAAGGCAGATTCTCACCAAAGCAATGAAAAGCAAATCTGTGCCCTCTGACTTTTTCTATCGTGCTTCACTGATGCTTAGATGTTTTTTTCTCCGAGCTGCTTCAGACAGCATCTACCCAAAACTGCTTGTCAGCAGTTGGAGGTGGAGACTATGAAAGTGCCCTTGGTCGAGATATTTGGCCCAAGAGAGCATATATAGATGTTCCGATTTGAC